CTGTAGCACATCAGCAATGAGGAGGTTAATTCACTCCCAGACTCAGCCTCTGAGCAGGAGAGCAGGGGCTTCTACAGCTCCTAGCCCCTCAATGACACCAGCAGAACTACATAGTGGAAAGCTTGGCTGCCAGTCAACTGCAGACCCAAATTCTGACTCAGTGAGCCAGCAAGGAAACGTGCTGCATCCGGTGGGTTATCTCAGAACTATTCTTTGAGGTGGGCCAGAATGGTCTTGAACTCCATCAGCCTTCTGAAGAGCTGCAAGTACAGGTACATACTGCCACAGCAGGCTTTATTTCATTACTTTGATACTAGAGGGAAAACAATTGTATTTTCTAAATTAACAAAGTCAAGAAGAAAATCCAGGCCACAGAGATGTCTCCACTGGCAAAAATGTTGGCTAAGCAAGTACTGCCAGCATCCACACAGACAACCTAGAGAGCAATGGTGCATGCCTGTTAACCCAGCACTGGGGAGGTATGGGCAGGAGGGTACCTGGGGCTTGCTAGCAGCCAGTCTAAGTGAACTGATAAGCTCCAGGTTCAGCAAGAGACTTTCTCAAAGTGTGGGGGGGGGATTAGGGCTGGAGAGATGGCTCAGCAGTTAAGAACAAGTACTGTTCTTGCACCCATATCAGGAAGATCACAACTGCCTGCACACACACAAGCACACACATACAGAAATAAAAGAATAAGCCCGTGTCAGTCAGAAGAGGCAAGGAACACATCTGTCAAAACCTAGCACCCAGTCACAGTCCAGGGAGAACCTGTCACTACCCAGCTTCATCCAAAGCAGCCTGTTTACATATGACAAGTCTGGGTCCTAACCAGTGCCACCAGCAATTCAGTCCTCCAGCTTTCTTGTTGCCATGTCCTCCCCTGCCCTTTGTGAACCTGATGACACTCTGTCCACTGGCTCTGACCACTTCTTGCCCCTTTGCTGTCTCTTGTGGCCTGGATATTCTGTCCACCTTCTATGTTTTCACCTAGCAGAGCCCCGGCCTTACTCTAAATGTTCCCTACCGATGTCTGGGCACTAGCCCTTAAAAGGGCTGCAGAGTGCAGTTGTCCAAGAGCTCAGGTGGGTCCCCTGTGTGCAAGCTATCTATCTGCTGATGTGTGTGGAACCTTCAATTCCACCTCTACATTGTTCTATCGTCACTGGGTTCCGCACAGTCTGCACTGGGGCAGTATGTGGGGCTGATGCTGTGGCATGGTGTGCCTGAGCATGCACGTGGGGCCCACCCATGCCTGCAGACAGATCCAGCTGCACCTCCTGAGACTGGAGTCCTGTCTATTGTCCTGGGGGAACTGCAGGCTGGAAACCGATTCAACAGACTGGATTGATACTGTTTTATGTCTCCCTGGGAATGTAGAGAGGGAACTGTCAGGCACAGAGTGGACCCCACAGGAACCTATCAGGGCTCCATCTCAGGGACACTTCCTTGCTATTTCCTTGTCCCAGGCCCTTAACCCTGCTGATTCCCAGAGAGATGAGAGTATCTTTTAACCCTATGCCAGAATGCAAAGCACTCTATGTTCTGGCATGAAGGTCCAAGAGAGCCCTGCCTATGATCCTCAGAGGGAAAGAGGTATGCAGACACAGAGGGCAGCCCTCTCGCTGACTTTCTCCTGCTTCTCTACTAGTTGTTCATGTGAGAAGGACAAACTGCTGTCTCGTTGGTCAAAGTCCACTTCTATCTCATTCACACCTGGAAACAGGCATGGCATGGAGATAGATGGAGGACTGGATCTCCAGGCAGATGAGACTCTGGGAGCCTGGTAGGAACCTCAGCTGGAGAAAGACCAGCACCCACCCCTAGGGGCCATGCTCCTGAGTATGGCAGTGGAAATGTGTACTGTACCCACAATCCCACTGTAGACCCCATGTTCTGCTTCAATATGCACAGGCACTCTTGGTTTACATGGAGATGACTCTGCAGGTTTTTTTATCCAGCTGCCCTCTACGGCTTTGCTGAGGCCATGACTGTGACACAACCAGGATCACAGATGTACTCAGGGCTGAGACTCTCTGGCGAGCACACTGGCTGCTCCGGCCCAGGCTCTCTTAGGTAGGAGAGCCTTGTTACTACTTAACGACCTAAAATACTACTGGCTGTAAATCAGTCCCCACTTCAAGGCTGTGGGCCCTACTCCATGTGGAGGAGGGAGCAGAGCCTGGGTACCACCTGTATCTGAGGTTCAAACCTGATGCCTAGCAGCAGAGCCACCTCAGGGAGGCAGGTGTGAGCTAATGTCCCTGAGTTTCCCAGGTGTGCTCTAGTAGGTTGTCCTCTGTAGGCATCCTACTGGTCATAGCAGTCCCTCCCTGACTGAGTCCCAGCCTGGGCTCAGGACCCTCCAGAAGGATCTCTGGCCACCAGTGGCTCTTACAACTCATGACCTCAGGTGCCAGGAATGCTCGCCGCAGCACCATCTGGTTCTGATTACCCATGTTAGGCTGCAGGCGCCTCAGCCAGGGATCTGTGTCCCAAGTGGCTGGGAGATTGATTTGGGCTCCTCAGAGACTTTAGCAGGAGGATGTGAGGAAAGCACATCTGAACCAATGTGGGGTTGGGCCAGAGCAGGCAGCCATGTTCTGGTGCCATGGTACCAGAAAGGATGCTGTGGACTGGAGGCCATCTCACTGGCTCTCAGGGGTTAAGAATGACCTCCAATGACTTGCCTTGGCAGATTACCAGACACTTCCCTCCCCGAGACCTGGGCTGTATAGAACCAGGGTCTCCTGGGCCTCTAGAGCCAACACTGGACCCGACTGGGTGAAACAGCACTGGGCCTCCACCATAATCCGCAGTCATCCCCACCCTCCCAAGCAGGAAGGCAAGCTCAGCAGGGGGTGAGGCTCCTTACCTCCTTTGATGTACACTGCTGGGCCAGGCTCTGCCCACCTCAACCCAACTACTTCAGGATGCAGTTCCAAGCTCCCTTCTGCTTTAACTTTTCGACTCATTAGTAGAGTAAAAGTTCATCTCTGGACTGGAGCATGCCCATAAATTAAGTTTTAAGTTCCAGCAGCTGTTTCCCAAACATGTGGGGAGATTCCAAGAAGCTTTGGGCTGGAAGGGGCTCTTCCCGGGCGCAAGGGCACAAGAGGCCAGAGTAGGAGCAGCACAGTTCTTGAAGAAGCTGTATCAGGCCTCTGCTTTCAGGATGATGAGTCAAACCATAAGGGAATGCTAGACCCCACAGGTTGGTACTGCTGCCCTTTACCTGGCCTCAGAGGCAGGAGGGTGTGTGTGAAGGAGACCTCTGAGTCTTATCTGCTGGGCTCAGCATCTAATGAGGTGAGGACTCAGGAAGCCAGTGGCTGAGTACTGTGCGCTCCCATATGCTCACATGCAGACCCCGGTTCTGAGGCTTAGGGGCTCCTATTCAGGTTGGAAACCCTTTCCTTTACAGCAGGAAACCTGTGAGTCTCTCAGACTCTGACGGAAAGATGGCTGGATGGACATACAGGACAGGTTCACTCTCAATCCACTATGTGCCCAGCAGAGCTGGACCTCAGGGATGGTCAATGCTCAGAGCTATGGCTATGTGCCTGCCTGGTGGGCCTCACTGCACATCTTCCCTTTCCTACTAGGCACTGCTGGTGGGGAGGTCAAGTTATCTGTGCCGTCTTTGCTTCCCAGTGGGGCACTCCTGGATCTGCCCCTATGTGGCCACAGTCAATGTGCCCAAGCCAAGGCATGTTGTCTTTGGTTACTCATTACATTTCCTCTCCACATCAGCCTCCTGATCCAGGACTTCCCTTGGCCCCTACTATCTACTGTCCACCATCAGCTCCTTTCTACGAATGGCCTCATGATCAGGTCCTGATTTGTACCCTGGGTGCCTCCCGGCACCAACCCAGCTCTGACTTTCCCCACTCAAATGCTTCAGGAACTGTGGCAACTCACTTAGACTAGAACCTGATATGCTCAAAACAAACTATCCTCAGCTGCAAGGCCAGCATTCAGCAGTGAGACTGCTGAGCAAGTCTCCCTCCCACTCTAGGAAGGCTGCAGTAATGACCTCTGAAGCCTCCTATTGGGCAGAGGCAACCTGGACTACCATGTCTCCCCCCACCCCCCAGCTCTAGCCAAGTCAGTGAAGGTGGGAGCTAGGCTATGGCCACATAGCACTCCATAGGACATTCAGCTCTCCCACCAAGGCTGTTTCCATGGTTCTGTTAAGGCCAGCCTCTTCTGAGACTCCTGGACAGGCTCCTTTCCTACCTTGAGTCAGGGTACCTAGGCCATTTCTGGGGTCTTGGTAGCTTGTAGTCTGCCAGGTCTTTACAAAACCAAGTCTGGGATACATATTTCACAACCCCTGCCACAATTCCTCCATCCTAAATGGGAAACAAGCCAGCTAGGCCCATTATGGTGTACTCTGAGAGACAGAGGCAATCCTAAGGCCATACCAAGTGGTCCACTTGATACTGTGGGGTTGTCTCTAGCAAGCCCTGTCCAGCCTTGGCTGTCCTTACTGCCTGGTAGACTTTTCTGTGACACATGAGCAACAACAGTCTCCCTAAGACCAGGTTACAGAGCTCATCAGGCCATGGCTTTGTAGGACTTGCCATAAGTTTTCTCTTCTTTTTGATTAATCAGTTCCTTAGTCTCCCTAAGACCAGGTTACAGAGCTCATCAGGCCATGGCTTTGTAGGACTTGCCATAAGTTTTCTCTTCTTTTTGATTAATCAGTTCCTTACTGACCAAACTTCTCTGAGTTTTCACAAAAGGAGTTTGGTCTGCCTGGACACTACGTGCCTTTTTTCTAGATGGACAAGGCTTGATGGCTGTTAACCCGAGGTCCAGGGGAAACCCAAACCATGTGAACGGTGAGCCCACGCCTACTGGCCCTTGCTCCCCTATGCCTCTGAGTGATTAATTAGCTAGGGAACTGCAGCCGCTCCTCTTCATGACTAAATATTGTTTCGGCCTATCAGACTGTTAGTGCAGAGCAGGATAAATGAGACCTGGGCCCGTGCACTGACCTGCAGGGACTGCTGGCTGTCCAGACTCCAGACAGCCAGGACCTTCCCGGCAGAGCCTGAGACGCCCTTGGCCTTCTGAGAATCGAAGTCAAGGCCCATGACAGGTTCTTCATGGCAGGCGATCCGGCTGCACACCTTCCGCTCTGAGATGTCCCACAGGGTTACAGATCCATCCTCATAGCCAGCCAGAAGGAGAGGGCGGGAACTGGAGTTAGTCTGTGGGGAATGGCACAGTGGTTGGCTCCCAAAGGATCTTGTCTTCAATGAGCTTTAGGGCTGTGGGAACAGCTCTCTCTCCAGCCATGCCCATAAGGGGGTTGGCCCAGTCAGAGAATAGTTCCTTTGCTTTCCATATATCCTAGCAGCCTCCCACATCCCTCTCATGGGGCTGGCAGGGCCACTGCTAAGTACCCAAGGAGCTGGAGGAGTGTAGAGCAGTCTAGGTGAGCCCCCAGGCCTCACACAGTCATACATTTCCCCCTACATTGGATCCTGTCCAAAGCAAGGATGACATGATACTCATGGCACCTACCAGTACCCTGGGGCAGCTAGGGACAGACTCAGACTACTTCCTCATCTCCTCCAGGTGTAAGACTAGAAGTCACACCTTGTTGAGATCAGTCATCCTCTAGAACCACTAGACAGGAAAATTCAAGCTCAACAAGAAGGAGTTTCTGAGCTTTGTTAACATAGCTGCAGAAGCCCCCACCCTTGGAAGTTTGATGTGAGAGGCCCTCACTATCGTGATGGATGAGGGCGAGGGTCAGAGGGCTCTGCGCCCTGGGCTGACGCTCGTTTATTTAGCCTCTGAAACAACTACAAAAGAAGAGGGCTGCAGGATTCCAAGTCACCCTCAGGGACATGCCATCAGTCCCAGCACTGCACAGCAGCTCAGGAGAAAATGCACAGGGCTGAGCAAGAAGGCTCAGGCTAGCTGGAGGCCTATGGCATGCATCTAACAAACAGCACAAGGGCCAAGGCTTTCTGGGTCAGCCCAGGTTGTAGTTGGGGGTGTGGTGTGATATGAGCCTAGTGGGGGGTGGGGTGGGGTAAGGCCTACTGTAGACCAGTATCTGGAGATGGCAGTGACAAGGAAAGGAGCACACAATTACCAGACTTTCCGCAAGAACAGTGAACTTGCCAAGCCAGTCCCCAGAAATGGCTTGTAAACTGACTGTATCATGCTGGTGGTTCAAGTTCACAATATAAAATAGGAAGGAGTGAGGCTCCTGGGAGGGGACATGAAGCTTCCTGTGTTTTCCAGGGCAATTTACTTTTAGCGTCATCTTCAGTTGCTCTTCCCTAGGGCCAGAGCCCATACTGTGACCTTTTACCACAATCCTAAGAGGCAGGGTTGTCCCAGGTCTCTGAGTGTGTCCAGCACCTGGTACAACGGTTCTCCCTGGCTCTGCAGAGGCCCTGGCTGCACTGCTGCCCTGTCTCTGAGTTTTGTCACAAGGATGAGTTCCCTGCTGTTTCTCAGGTCATCTGCTTGCAAGTGGTTTATGTAGGCTCACACTGTAGCAGAGCCTCCAGACACACTGCTCAGGTCAGGGGAGGGGCAGTTCCAGGTGGAACAACCCCAGAACAGTCTGCACCCCAACCAGGAATGCATGCCAACTCTTGCTATTCTTAATCACTACCCACAGCATGGCCACCTGGTAGATGCTACTCCAGAAGCTCTCTTAAAAGAACTGTCTCAATGCCTCAAGGCTATGAAGACAGAGTCCTAGCCGTGGTCTGTGATGACATCTATGCCACCTCTACAGCTCTGGCTCCATGCTCCTCTTCCCTGGGCTGTCCCTTGTTTTTCTTAGTCAGGGCAGTTTAGAGCTTCCTCCATCATTGGCATCAGCCCTGGTCAGCACGCATGAAGCTTGCTGAGTTCTGAGCAACATAGATTATTAAGGGTTACTAGATAAGACCCCTCTGCCATAGTGCCACTGGGTGGCCAGAGCAGGAGCCAGACTGACCTAGGAGGTACACCTGGTCATTCAGTCCCTGCCAGTTACAACCACAGTGTAGCACCTCACCACATCACTCTACTGAGTCTGCCCTGGTTCCTGTATCAGAACAGTGTTCTGATAGTCAGTAGGCCTCTGGTGGTCGCAGCCCTGATGTTTCCTCACCTCTTTAGCAGTCCCCCTTGCCCTCAGCTGGGATCTGGAGACAAAGATTGGCTCTGTAGCTTCTGCCCTTTGAAGTACAGCCTGAGAGACAGTAGCAGGCCAGGGCCTACAGGAACCCCAACAGTGTGTACTACAACTCAGCTGAAGAGGCCCCAAGACTCAGATAGGAGCCTTCCCTGAAGGTGGGTGCTGATGATGTTAGCTCAGGCCTCACTTATAGCCTGACCTGTCCTGTAATTATTACTGTAGCAATGCAAAATAGCTCCTTTAAAGTGTGAACTAAAGATGGACTTAAGTGTCAGGTCGGGATACTTTGCCACACTCCTAGAATTTCTGGATTTAGGAGAAAACAAAGAAAATTCCTATAACCAGAGGCTTTTTTGCAGCTATGGGCTTCACGTTGGATCTGTATCGCCAACAAATCCGTTGATTTGTCCTTCTGTCAACTATATTAATTACCTTAACAAGTTTGTACATCCCTTTCTACAAAATTTTTTTTCTGATGGAATTTTTACACGATTGGGCAATGACCCATGTTTCCAGGGTGCAGAACAGGAGTGGTGCAGCCACAGGCGCCTGTGCCAGGGCTTGTAAGTATTGTGTCACCTCCTTGGATACTTCAGTGTGAACAAGGCTGGGAGGCAGGATGAGGGTACATTTATTTTCCCAATGAAGAACCCAGAAACTTGAGAAGCCCCATATGGACACACTGAGACCAAGAACAAGGCTCTTCCTCTGAGTCAGGCTGCAGACTTGTGGGCCCAGGAGCTCTCAGAGCCTTGACTCCCTGAAGGTGTTTCTCTAGAAAGCTGCACAGCAAAGGCTGAACACTAGGTCAGCTTACCAAAGACTTCTAATCTAACTCAACCCTCTCAGTTAAGAAACTGCAAAGAGCTGCAAAGATGGCATAGTGGTTAAGAGTGCTGGTTGCTCTCACAGAGGACCCAGGTTTGATTCTCAGCACCTACATGGCAGCTCACAACAGTCTGGAACTCCAGTTCCAAGGAATCAGAAGCTATCTCTTGACTTCCCCAGGCACTAGACACTCAAGTGGTGCATACACATTCATGTAATCAAAATACTCATACTCATGTAAAATAAAGATAAAAAAATAAATAAATAAAGGAAACTGCAGCCGGGCAGTAGTGGCACATTCCTTTAATCCCAGCACTTAGGAGACAGAAACAGGCTGATCTTTGTGAGTTTGAGACCAGCCTGGTCTACACAGTGAGTTCCAAAGCTAAGCTAAGTGAAACCTGTCTCAAAAAAAAAAAAAAAAAGGGAAACTGCAAGGAAAGCCAATTGAAAGTGGGCCGGGCCAGACATTTTTCTGCCTTCCATTCAGACAGAGTCCCTGGGGCAGGCATATGCTTCTTGTGGGCCATGCAGGCAATTACAAACCAAACAAGCCCATCTCACCTAACTTTTAGAAGAGTTCAAAGAGGAGCAAGCCACAAGGCAGAAATCACCAATGAGAACTAGGAAGATGGCCAAAGGGTTACAACCCCTCTTAATATACCCTGTGACATGCCCACTGCGGTGTCTGTTCTGGCTAAGACTCTGAGGCTTCTAGGATTCTTTATGATGATACAGTAAATAGAAGTGCCCTGGAGGGAAAGATGCTGACCTGGATGTGACCAGGCAAAGGCTTCACTTTGAGAAGCTCTGGGCCTGTTTATAAGTGTAGGGACACTAGACCTTAGGCCGTGATGATGGGTGGGTCCTAGTTTTTGCAGCAGCCCCAGGAGATGGCTCCTGACCCTCTAACAGAAACAACTATAAAGAACAAAGGAAATGGCTACAGGTTAGACTTTCCTGGAAAGGCTGGGGAAATCATCATGCTAATGTTCCTGGGGGCCTCTATAAGGTTGGAAAGTGGCAAAAGTGAATGCCCAGAACAGTGAGGTCCACACAGGCCTGTGGGCCTGAGTCAGCTTTTCCCTAAGTCTCAGCAGAAGGTGCTGAGGAAAAGGGCATGTGTTCTTCTGGGAGCAAGCTGACCTAACTGTTTCCTCCTCACAGCCACCTTTGGCATCAGTGGAGGGTGGGGACCAGTTTCCCACAGCATTTCTATTGGGGTTCCTTGCAAGCACCATCAGCAGCCCAGGAGCTGCTGCTGTCCAGTCAAGGCTGGGCCACAGAGGACAGCAGGTACATGTCCTCTAAAAGAGAGTGCCCACAGATTTGATGACAAATCCAACCGAGTGGGGCATGACTCAGGGTTGTTGGGTGTGGCTGGCACACGCTGCCTTACCTGCCACAGCCCCAGGCACATGGGCATGCCTGGTTTGGCATCTGCCTCCGGCTTCAGGGTACACACTGACGTCTTGGATGGCATCTCCAGAATCTGAATCTGACAGTGAGAAAACAAGCTGATTTGGGCGGATGCCAAGCCGAGTCTATGCTATACAAACAAGAGATGTTTAAAGCGATTAGCCAAGGCTGCTCTCCCTGTAGGGACCTGAGAGCAGAGCCTCCTAATTAGTTTGCACAGGCTAAAGGGCTTAGATGCTCCTGGGGTCCTTGCAAAACAAATGCTCACATCATTCCTGAACTGCCAGCCCTTCGTCAGCAAGCAGCTATGGCACACCTTGCCCTAGTTTGCCATTTGGGAAAACCAAGCCCGACTTAATTGGTCCTGCCTACTCTGGCCATCCTCCCTCTTCCGCTTGTCTCTCTTGCCTCAGGATTTCCAAGGGCTCCTTTTGAACAATCTCAAGCACACAAAATGATGCAAAATCTTATGTAGAAGGCCCAAGGGAATCAGCATGTTGCAGAGCTAACTAAGGCCAGCTCCACTGAGCCCTGGTTTCCCAGTACCCAAGTACCAACCCAGACTACCTAGATGCCAGGCCATTTGGGGCCTGGGCTGGGATAGGCCTTGTGACCTACATGGCCCAGCTTCCCATGTGGGTATGCAAATCCAAGTAGACTGCTCATATGCTGACCAGCACCATCCACAAAGACCAGACTGGACTGGTTTCTCAGACAACCTATATCTAAGATGATAACCTGGTATCCTCATTCATTTGGGGGGATGTGACACCTCTCTTGTGAGTTCATCAAAACAGAAGGGCCCCACATGACAAGCTGCAGTCCAGCACAAACCAGATGTTCCCTATGCCTTTTATCTGCCTGGGGTTCTTCTACATGGTTGTGCCTATATGTACTTTCTGGTGTCATGTGAGCTAAGTTGATTCTAAAATCCCAGAGCTTCTCTAGGGTCCAGCAAGTGCAATCCTCCATGGCAACTAGCAAGAACATGAATACAAACCTGATTAGAATGGCCTGGTCTGCACACAAGGCATCAGAGCTCCAAAGGGATGGAGGGTATTAATTGGCCATATCCAGTATGGCCAGAGCCTGGGCAAGTAACAGCTGTGTTGTCCTTACCAACCTATGCCGCATAGAACCTTATATGTCACAGCCACAGAGATGATTCTATTATCAGCCATATGAGCCCTATGGGGCTGGGTCCAGGGCAGCTTCTAGGAAGTGCAGAATGCAAGCACACAGCCTTCAGTTAAGAATCCTGCTGATATACTCACTTCTGATAAATGAGGGACAAGGTACTCTCTGGCAGGGTTATCTCACCAGAATCTCCACAGTGACTGGATTCATTTCTAATGGCCAAGTTAAGCACTAGGAATGGCTCATCTGCTGCTGGCGAGCCTTATAGCCCCTGCCTCTGCAGTGGGAAAGAGACATGCTCAGGCCTTTAGGAGACAGACTGACATCTGAAGAACACTTGGCTGTCTGTGGGAGGAGGTAGGGAAAGTCCTAGACCCTGGTGATGTTGGAGAGCAAGGTATCAGGGTGGTTGCCATAGTTCCAGGGACAGGTAAACAGGACAGTGCCTGAAGACACGCTTCCAAGGAAGCAAGGAGACTGCTGTGAGGCAGAACCAAGTGACCAGAGGGCTCCAAGGGTTGTTGACTAGTCAAGACTGCACAGCAGACCCACCAACAAGGGCAGAGGAAGCAGAATCCACCAAGGGAACAGGTGCCCAAGACCTGGGAAGGGAGTGTGTATGGAGGAAGCCAAGACAGAGGGTAACATATAGGAGGTAGGGATGCTACAGGGGAGTAGAGATGAACGGTGTAGCAGTGGGCCAGCAAGTATGCATTAGAGTTGCTCCATGCCAGAAGGTAGAGAAGGGGAGGGGGCTCCTAGCCACAGTCCTGTCTCCTCAGCCCCATAGTCCTCCACAGCCAGCAGCACTAAGTAGGCAGCTCCTGCTGGTGCTGGCAGGTCAGGCCCATGCACTGGGTTAGGCTTGGCTCCTGCCCAAGAAAAGTCATTTTGTCTCCAAGCAGATCTAGTTCATAAATAATGAGATAGTAACAGGCATTTATTTGTTCATGATTGCATTTAAATCACCAATTAGGAGCTACATACACTTTTCTTGCTAGTTTGCCAAAAACCTGTTAAAAGTTTTATTAATGTGAGTGGTGGGGGAGTTGCCCCTCCTGTACAGCAGGCCAGGCAGCCCAGGTCACCCTGAGCCACAGACCCACAAGACGCCACTCTGAGGGTTAAGATAGCTCAGCTACTCTCAGGCCACTCATCAGTTCAGTCTTCCTCTGTGGAGGTCACAGGTTCCTGTACAGTTTTAACCAGCTTCTGGCCCTCTAGCCCTCACTACGGGTGGCACTGTATTTTCAAAACAATTTATTACATGTATTTATTTGTCTGTGTCTGTCTGTGTGTGTGTGTGTGTGTGTGTGTGTGTGTGCACATGCGTGCGTGCGTGCGTGTAAAACTTTTGTGACACAGTTCTCTCACCATACAGGTTCTAGAAATTGAACTCAGGTTTTCAGGCTAGGCAACAAGCATCTTTACCTGCTAAGCCATCTCAACAGCTGGACATTGTATTTTCATAAGCTGCCAGCATACTCCGGGAAAATGACTGTTTTCCAGTCTGCCTGAAATCTGCCTAAACCAGGCCCTGAAAAAGTATAGCTGGCTTAGGCCCAAACAATGCCCGGGAGCATGCTCCCACCTCTCACGGCCGTCTGGGTGGCCATACTTACCCAAACCTAGCATTTTTCCTTCTGGAAACAAAAGCTGGCATGGATGCCAGATGGAAAGATCCAGTGTCTATAGGAGGCTCCATGCTCAGGGAGGCTAGGCACTGCTCTTTCAGCTCCCAGAAGCCTGGAGAAGCAGGCTAGACAAGGTAGCTGCCCTGGGTCTGACCCTGGGATCCTGCTCTCCTGATATAGAATGGATGTTGTGCTTTCTACACTCTCAATACATATTTCAGATTGGGCTTTATACAGTCCCAGGTTCACTAATAGCTCCTATCTGAGGGTCCTTTACTATCCAGCCTCTCCCTGCTGCCACAATGGGGTCTTCCTGGGTGCTCAGGTAGGGAGAGTCCCTGTCATGGCCTGTGTGCAGTGCAGATTTTGTATCTGTGACTTTTGCCTCCTAATGCACTACCCTTCCCAGAATGTACAATTATGGAGTGCAGTTTCTCTGTCCTTAACATCTGGCTGATCATTAATGGCCACAGCTCTGCATACAGGGTGATGGCGATTCTATAGGAAGAAGCCCTGAGATAGGGTAAGTTTACTCTTATAGAAAGCTGAGGGTCCTGGTATTGCTGCATGGATCCATATCCTGTACTCCCCTTTGCTCCAGCCTCATAGTTGATGGGCCATAGTTTTCAGATGTCTTTTATCCTGTCCCTTTTCTTTTTGCCAGAGTTTGTGGAACAGTTTGTTTCACAGAAGGCTTGGGTGCCCTGGAATTCCTCTGGACCTCTTCTTACTTCCAGACTAACTCTCATTCTGGCTTTATTCCCCCTTTCCCAAGTTTGTGGCCACTCCCTCCCTCATTTAGCTTCCAGAACCCTGCAGTTTCACTGTGGCATAACTCCGCCTGCCCATTTGTGAATTCCCCTGATGCTTCAGTTCTCTTCACAGTGTCACTATATGATGTCTCTATTGCCTCTTCCAACAGGCTAGTAGAGCACCAAGGCCCCGATTTCTGGAGGTTCCTTTCTGTATACATACATGTATGTGTGTGAATATATGAATAGACAGGTATGCTTAATGTATATGTTTGTACATGGCCCTGAGTGGCCCTTCTCCAGGAACAGCACAATGCTGAGTACCAAGGTCTGCCTTAGCCCTTTCTGATTCTCACCACTGCCCTGGACGGATATGAGTTCACAGAGAACTAGGCTGTGCATCAGCCAATGGCTGCTGGAGCTGCAGTGAAGCAGGCAAGTTGCACAGCTGCAGCTGACAGAGCCCTGTGGCAGTACTGGGCCCTCCTTATTGAGGGAGGACAAGTGTGCCTGCTTAAGGCAAACCCAATGTCATTAGTGCATGGAAGGTAGTTCCAGAGGGCTGGTCTTACCTCATCGCTGCCCTTCCCAGGTATAGCAAGCATCCAACATAGCTGTCCCCTGGCCAGGACAGAGCTCCTGCAGAAGCCCACATTGTCCAGCTGAACTGCGTCCATGATGGTGTTCCTGCCCTCTGCCAAGTCCCACAGGCACAGCCGCAGGTCCCGGCCCTGGCTGATGAAGCAAGGGGAGGGGTCCGTGAGACACTATAAGCATTATGTACCCACTTGGACCAGTACCTGATCTATAGCCCTTTAATGCTGAAGGTGGCCATGTATCCAGAAGGTATCCAGGTAAACTTTGCACCATCCAGGCTAGAGGCATCAGGTGAAGAGGTTTTCTCCCTCAGTGTTCACAGCTATGTTGGCATCTATGGCACTGAAGCCAGGATGTTCAGTAGATTAAGAATGTGGACACTGAAACATATACTATGGTCAGCCTCCTGTCATTCCAGTTCCACTGAAGTATACCCTGCACCCTTTTCTTCTCTGAGAACTGCCTTTAAGGACTCAGAAGTCTCATTTGGGTCTCTTCCAAAGTGTATTTGAGACATATATTCACTCAGAATACCATGCAAGCATGTTGACAGCAGCTTCAGGCATCATCACTAGGAAACAGTCCAGCTGCTCTGCAACAAAAGAATGGCCAAGTATGCTGTGCCACAGGGTGCCACTCAGCTGACTGCTGACATATGCAGCAGCTGGAAGGAAGTTGAGCCGTAGTTTGCTAAGTGAAAGAACCCAGATCTGAAGGTGATGGGAGATGTCATTCTGTAAATACGTTTCTCATACTGGTTACTGAATAAAGCACTGTTGGCCAATAGGAAAGCAAGATAGGTGGAACTAGGAGACAAGGAGGAAAGAGGAAGTAGTAAGGAGGAGTCAAGATGGAGAGACTGGAGAGAACAGAAGTCTGGGTCCACTCCCCAGTAAGATAAGAACACATATGTAAGGAGTGAGGTTTTTCTGCCCACCGCCGGTCTTGTCCCGTCAGCCCCACATTGAGACTCTGTATTTGATATAACGCTGTTGGCCAGTTACTAGTTTCTTATCGGCTAGCTCTGTCTTAAGTATTAACCCATTTCTATGTATTTCCATGTGGTCTCATCTTACCAGGGAGAGGCGGCGTCTCGTCTCCCCATTCTCTCCTATGAGAATACACAAGACAGGACTATTTCAGGCAGAGGCCACTGCAGGAGGCTAGCAGTAGTGGGAAACCAGGTCTTGGCAAAGGCTCAAACTGTCCCCAGAATGTTCTAAGGCTTGTGCTGGCTTTAACAGGCTTGCATGCTTTTGGACCACCCTCCTCCCTTGCCCTTCTATGACTTGCTTCTCAGGGACCTAAGAAAGACTGTGTATGCGTGAGAGTGTGCATGTGCCTGTGAATGTGCGTGAGTGTGTGTGTGTGTGAGTGTGTGTGTGTGAGTGTGCTGTGTGTGTGTTTGGAGACAGGGTCTCTCTATATAGTTCCTGGCTGTTCTGAAGCTCAGAGAGATCCTTGGGCCTCTGCCTCCCAAGTACTTGGATAACAAGCCCTGTGTCCCCATTTTTTAAAAGGCTCACTGCCAATGTAGTCTTTTATTCCGTTTGTTTTGTTAAGGGCCATCAAACCCAACATGAGGACCTCTTTTCTAAAACACTAGAATATTTGTGTAAACTTCACCAGTTAAACCTCCCTATTTTGAAGACAGGAAATATGAAAAGTTCTGAAATCTGAAACATTATGAGAGCTGACATGACACTCTAAAACTTCCAAACTTTTATGCAGGGAGTAGTGCATGTCTGTGAGTTCAGGTCCAGCCTGGTCTACAACATAAGACATTCCAGGTTAGCCAGAACTGCATAGTGAGACCCTATCTCAAAAAAAAAAAAAAAAAAAACAACAAGTAACAAGCTTTTAGATTTCCAGATTAGAGAAATTCAGCTTCTTGGCTGCTGATAGTGGGCCCAGCAGACACCACCCACCTGTGTGACCAAGGTCAGTCACACCTGCCAAGGAAACACAGGGACTCAGGAGCCTCTATCACCACCAGGGTGGCAATCACCACACTGAGCTTCCTCCCCAAACCCAGGGCCTCAGTCTTGTTCTGAACCTGGGATATTCTACAGGGTACTTCAAAAGTACGGAGATGATAGGAATGAGTGTAGGGAACTGAGCCCAGAGCCCACATGCAGCTACTGGCATCTCCTTCCTGTCTGTCAACAGAGCTGAATCTGGAGGGAGGAGCATAAAGAACAATGAGATAGTGGACTTTGCCACAGAGGAACTGTGGGTCTGCAGGTGGGCTAAGGATGTCCATCTCCATAAGACCCAGGATCCTGACCACATGGCCTAGCCAATTAACATGAAGACACCCCTAGCAGAGAGATAACCTGTGATAGAATAATTATGCTATATAAAATATAAAAAGGACTTCACATATCAATAGGAAAAATGCAGTCAGTCCAGTAAATACCAGGTGGTCTTTTCTTTTGTTTCCCTAACTTAAAGTCAGGAAAGATCATAAAACCATTCTGTTCGTTTTCAAGACATACATCCTTAAGACAGTCTAGCAATCCTGGGCTGCTGCCAACTGCACAGTGGGCGGTGCTGCAGGGCTGTTCTTGACTGGGCAGTGGTTACTCAGGTGCTACAAGGGTTTATATACTAGCTAGCTGGTGTAGCTCTTGTGGCCCAGGTGTAACTAGGGCTGGGGACCCTCTAGCCCTAAGCGATAAGAAAGCATACAACCCCTTCCAGGGCCTCTTGAAGAAACCTGGACCCAAACACAGCTGAGGCCAGGCAGCCTTGGTGGGCTGTGGTCTCCAGTGCAGGGCAAATGCACCTGGGCATTCCACACTTGCAGCCCCCACCACAGGCCTCATGACCCCCAGGAGGGACAACAGGAGGGGCTACAGCACCACCACCCTGGCTGGGGGATAGGGTGTTTATATAAGTACCAGTCCCAGGCTACCCTTCATGCTTTTCAAGCCAGTTGACTTGGTCCTAGCCCTGTGACCAAGGCCACCCAAGTGTCTGGGCCCTGGGTGAGCTCTTTTGAGGCTGGGCCCTGCTTTATTCAGCCCTGTCCCTTTAGCACATGGTGCAGTTACCTCTTTGTCAGCTGCTTTCTGGGCTGGTATCAGCTCCCTCAGATGGCACTTCCCTGTCTCAGAAAAGCCTCAGGGAAGGTGATCCCATCTGACAGGAGTCAGAGCTATCTATTTCCCAAAGGCTGGAGCTGGCCCTATACTCTCCACAAGCTACAGCCAACCTGGCAGGATGCCCCTAACACCTTTGGTTTATTGCCATTTTGCCATTCTGCTCTGGCTAAAGGTAGTCACAGGGGCCTGTCAGAGTTTCCAGCATAGGTCCCTGATGGTCCCTTTTGTTCCTATGACTCACCTGAGGAGCTGGTGCCCTTGGGGCAGTGTCTTCAGCCAGGTTACACCCTGGCCCCTGTGGCCATTTAGGGCAGCAACTGTTCTTCTGGTCTGCAGGCTCCAGATGTGCACCAGGCCACTCTGAGAGCTGTGGAGTCAGGCACAGACACAGACAGGGCTGCAGTCAGCAGACGTCTTGAACTTGCTCTAGGCCAACATCACACACAGCCAATGGAAGGCACTGGAGGAGATGACTCTGAACTGAAGGTCAGCAAAGGTGACCAGAGGGCCTGGGCTAGGTTACTTTCTCAGAGCTCAGTGGTGTGACATAGTGGTATGACTTGCTGCTCCTCCAAGAATTCCAGAATGCACAGGGCTTCAGGCAGGTTACGAAAGTGTGGCAAGTACAGTGCCTTTGCCGCAGCTTACATAAGCAGCACACTCTGTGAAGCCCAATGCTGGACATCACCCTAGGCTTGGGGTGGGGCAGTTGTTACTCACCCTGAGAAAAGGAGGGGACTCCCCAGAGCTTGAGACGCTGGGCAGAAATGCAGTGTGTTCACAGGTGACTGTGTGCCTCGGAGGACAAATCTGGGACCAGGTGGTGGTGGGAACAGAGCTGCCATGTGTTAGATGCAGTCCTGGGGTGGAAGACATGTGAGTGATAGAGAGCTCTACATCTCTTCATTCAGAAGGCAGTTGGAAGGGAGGTATCTATAAAGCTGTTGGCTTGGTACCCAGATTCTGCCCCCTCTAGGAAAAGGATGTTACTCTCCATCATGCAGACAGGCTCTGTGGCTGTACAACAGCCAGCTCTTGGCATGGGCCCAACTTACCCTAACTGCCAGCCTGTCATTGTTCCTGCTGGGTACCTCCAGCCCTCTCCCTCCCTGTATCCCCATCTTATCTGTCAGCTCTGGTATTCCCTCCTTGGCAAGCACAACCTAGGAACCCTGTATGGAGGTCTTGCTGCTTCTACAGTAAAGCAGTTGCCTATCAAGCTCAAGGTCCTGAGTTCTATTTCCAGCACCACAGAAAGGAGCCTTTGCTTAGCCAAACTTGATTCAGGTTCCTCCTTCTTCTTGTAGGCCTATGTGAACACTTTCAGCAAAACCTCTGTCGGTTTATTATCACCCATACCCAAACGATCAGGCCCCTCAGCCTTTACTACCCATCAAGTGACACCTGCTTACCCTGGTCTGCCTTCAGCCTGAATCTCCAGACACCTGATATGGCCTCTTACCTATTTTCCATGCACCCCTCCCCATGTTGCAGAATATCTGTACCCTGTGTGAAGATGTGTTGCTGTGATTGGGATAATAAAGAGCTGAATGGCAGAAGTTAGGCAGGAGGTATAGGAGGGACTTCTGAGGACAGAGAGGACTCTGGGAAGAAGAAAGGCACAGACTCCAGGAGATGCAAAGGAAGCAGGATATACAGGCGGAGAGGTAACAGCCACAAGCCACGTGACAGAACATAATTTAAAATAAATGAGTTAATTTACATTGTAAGAGCTAGTTGGGAACAAACAAGTTATAGGCTAAGATTTCATAATAATCATTATTTGGGAGCTGGCAGAACAGAGAAAGACTAGTTACACTTCCTCCTGCCCCCTGCTATAAACCCTGACTTGTCTCAGTTTTCAGAGGTAGGCCTAATCTCTTTTTCTTACAAGAGCCCACATCCCTGTCCCTATGGTACTCCATGAGTCAAGTATTAAAGACTGCCTCCTCCTGCAGTGACCCTGCATACACACTCACAGCATTCATCCTAACATCCACTGGACTGAACCTACCAGCAGGCTTCCTTCCTGTGCCTCCCTCAGGGGCCCTCCACTCTGGAGCCCCTTTGCTTCCCTCCCTAAAGTAGAGTAATGGCATGCCTGGATGACGTATACCATTCTTGCTTTGTGCTAGTACCTACTCAGCCGAAATGTGCTTACAAATGAGAGCGCTACAAACTGCCCTACTGCATCCTGGCCTGAACCACCAAAACTTCTAATTATTTTTGTTTGTTTGTTTTCAAGACAGGGCTTCTCTGTGTAGCTCTGGCTGCCCTGAAACTCTCTCTATAGACCAGACTGGTCTTGAACTCATAGATCTGCCTGCCTCTGACACCTGAGTGCTAGGATTAAAGGCGCGTGCCACCATCATCAGGTCAAAACTAATCATAACCACTTTGTGAACAGCATACTCTACTTCTGAGAAACTGAAACAGGAAATGATTGGGGAGCTGCCCCAGATTCCTGGGAATGGGCCTGAAATATTCTCAAGGCATGTGCCACCAAGAGGCAGAGCAGCCAGGGAGGGTACATGGGAAAGGGCAGGACCAAGTCATCTGGCCACACCCACAGAACTGCTGTCTAGGCAGACAGACCACTCCTCAAAGCACAGGACTTATATTGAAGACCTATTAGGGTCTACCTTGCAAAAGAGAAATTTCCAGTGCCCTAGACCACACATTTCCTGCAGTCTACCCCCATCACGCCACCCCCCAGTCCCTCAGCTGGCTGCTCTTCACAGGTAGGGGTGGCCCCAAAACCACAAGCTGGGATGAAGGTACAGGAGAAAAGGTCAGAGGCAGACAGCAGGGGGACTGCACAGGCATCTTTCCAGTGAGCAAGGGCACATCCTACCATACTTACATGCAGCCCACACAGCAGGGAAAGGCAGCTCTGCCATCAAACAAACACGACACGGAAAAGAATGGAGCACAAGAGCTGGGTGGATTCTTCCAGAGCGGCTTTAAGGCTGGTGTGGAATGTGGGGAGAGGGGCTACAAGGCTGAGGCCACAAGCAGCTATGAGCAGTGAAGAGGCCAGTGAGGAAAAGGCTTCTCTAAAAGCAGCCTCCCCAGGGCAATACCATCAAGTATATCTTCTACCTGCATGCCCCATAACACCACACTATCCAGGACCTATGGAGGGTAGACTAGGAGGATGGGAATGGGATCAGGGCTGTGCCAGAGAGGTCTGTACCCATGCCAGTGGCATGAAATAGACACATATCTAGTTCTACTGACCTGAAGTAGGCCCCATCAGGTCAAGCCCTTTTTGGGCTAACTCTATCCTTGAACCCTGACTCCCTCAAGGGCTTTCAAAGAAAACAAGGTCACCAGGAATGCATGTACAAACTGTCAAATCCCCTCTTTTCTGCCTCACCCCTCCCCCAGGGATGTGTTAGGGAAGAAGCAAAATTCATCATTTGGTAAAGGCCAACTAACTCTTTCCAAATGTGAGGTGTGACTTCTGCAGACACTGTACACAGACACGTGCCCCTGAAAAGATCACAAATGCTGGAAGAACTGCCTCCAACAGGTGGCCCAAAGGACAGGTTCAGAGGGCAGCTGAGGGCCCTCCAAAGCTCAGCTGTGCTCTTGCCAGATACAAGTCCACAGGCCCTAGCTCCACCACTGCCAAGAACTTAATCTCTTACAGCACATTTACCCAGCAGGAAAGCTCTAAAGCCAAGATAGGGGCATCCTGCCACATGGGCCCAAGCAATGAAGTATCTGCAATACAGATACCACACATACTGTAGTCATGTGCATACACACTTACACATGCATACATAAATGCCCACATACACAGATGCACTCCCTTCAGATGCATCCTCACACACAGGGGCATACAGACCCTCAGGTACACAGCAAAACACACATGTATACTTGTGCTCACATGCCCACTCATGCACATGCATGTATACGAGTTCTCACACACATGACCCTGGGCAGCACCAGCTGAAGCTCAGCCCACACTTGCCACCTGCCTGCGGCATGGTGGGAGTTTCCAGAACCTCACAGCAGAAGGCTCATTGTGAGGTGATGAAATCAAGGTCTCTTCTATTGTCTCCCCAGAAATTCAAGGAACAAACCCGTCACGTCACGCTGTTACAACAGTCGAAAAGCTCAGGCCAAAATGATGCATCAACAATTAAGGGCTCCATCATTTCAGGCAATTAAAATAAACGCTTTATTTGAAAACTAATTAATTCTACCTACATATTTTTCCTATTACAATATCCTATGATTACTTGATTTATGACACCTAATTATTCTTTATTAATCTAATTGAGAATAATTGTATTATCCTATCTCTCCTGGCCCCTGGCCGCCCTGGATGGAAGCCACAGCCCTTGTACATGGTCCACGCATGGTGCTGCTGCATGATGCTGAGGCTGTACCTCTTGTCTCTTCCTCAGTGAGTGGGAGGGCAAAAGATCAGAAAACAATACAAAGAACACTTTGGTTCTGCCTGCTCTTCAAGATGTCAAAGTGAGAGAGATTATTTTAAAAATTTACAGGAGAGACAACCTGGCAATTTGGGAAATGGATGACCTTTCCTATAAATGCTTTAAGTGCCAAAGGCCCACACATTGTCTCCCTGGGCAAATCACAGCAGCCTTTGTCTAAAGGCCTCAGGGTCACCCTCATGGAGAGGTTCCCTCTCTGTCACTACTGTGCTAATTTTATGTCAACTTTACACAAGCTAGAGTCATCCATGAAAAGGGAACCTCAACTGAGAAAACACCTCCATCAGATTGGCCTGTAGGCAAGTATTGGGGGGGCATTTTCCTAATTAATGATTGATGTAGGAGGGTCCAGTCCACTGGTGGTGGTATCATGCCTGTGCAGGTGGTCCTGGGTTGCATAAAAAAGCAAGCTGAGCAAGCCATGTAGGATAAACCAGTAAGCAGTGTTCCTCCATGGTCTCTTAAGTTCCTGTCTCTGCTTGAGTTCTTGCCTTGAATTCCCTCAAGGATAGTCTGTGATCAGGACAACTAGGCCAGACAATCTTTCCTCCTCCAGTTGCTTTTGGTCCTGGTGTTTTATCACAGCAACAGAAAAGCAAACTGGGGTGGAGGGTATATATCCCAAATCAGATTTGAAAAAGATTCAATCTGGTAAAAAGTTGCTGGGAAATAGGTTTCCATGGTACTCTTTAGAGATTACCAGTCACAAAAGGAAAGGGTGCCTTTACAATGGAGACATCTAGCTGCCATCACCTCCCTCAAATGATAGAAGCCAGTGCCAATGACAAACAATAGGCATGGCTTCTCTCCTGATGATATGCGCGCGATGTCATGGCATTACCTGCATGAACCCATGCTGATAATGTTGAAACATGAGCCTGGCCATGAGGAAACAGACACATCCAGACATGGAACACAAGCTGCCCAAGAAAATGGGCTTAGGCTTGTGAAACTGCCAACATGAAGAGAAACTACAGAGGCAAAAGACAGTGACTCTTCTATATTAAAGTAAACTGAAGAGATATCAAAACCAGCTGGGTATCTCAGGAGGCAGAGGCAGGCAGGTCTGTGAGTTCAAAGACAGCTTGGTTTACAAAGTGAGTTCCAGGACAGCCAGGGCTACACAAAAAGAGAAACCCTGGGGAGACACGAAAGAGAGTGAGAGAGAGAGAGAGAGAGAGAGAGAGAGAGAGAGAGAGAGAGAGGGAGGGAGGGAGGGAGGGAGGGAGGGAGGGAGGGAGGGAGGGAGGGAGGGAGGGAGGGAGGGAAACCTCCAGGTCTCAGGTGCGATTTGCAGGAGAGGACCAGGTACCTGAGCAGCTAGCTCTCTGGATCACTGTCTATGATGGGCTCATCCCCTCTTGCACACACATACACTATGATGCCATCTC